AAATAAATATATATATATATAATTTTTTTTTTGAGTTTTTGTGCATTTCATTTAATAGATCTTAACCAAAGTTAGACCTCCTCCCCTATCTGTGTCCCTCCTTACCTCCCCCACTGGATTTCATGCAGTCTGTCAAATATGTTAAGTCCTATCCGGTCAAGCATTTGTACCCAGATGTCCCTCGGTACAAATTCATCCACTGGAGTCTAGTCAGCCTATCTAGAGTCACTCCCTTAAAGGAGATCTACTCTCCAGTTACTTTTAGAGTGGGCAGAAGACAGGCCCATGAAGGTACCTTCTGAGGACAAGCCTGGGCTGGCTGTGTTTGTGCCTTTCAGGCCATAAACTTGTTTTCTCAGTTTCACTAGGGGCAGCTTGGTCCCTTGCAGCTTTGCTCAGTCGACTGCCCAGCCTGTCGTATATTACTCTGCCACCTTCCCCTTCCCCTGCTATTTCCCAGCAGCCAAGTATGGTCTAGGTCACAGTGGGAGGGGCTGCCTTTCACTCTGGCCCTGAAACATTCTCAAGACATTTCTCTGAGCTCTTGAGCCAGATGAAGTTAAGCTGCTTGAGTAGTCCCATTTCCTCCTGTAGGCTGGATCAGTGCTAATGGGAACATACCTAGGAAGTTGTTGCTCTCAGTCCTCAGGAGACCCTGAGTGCTACCTTGGGGACTCTACTAGGGGTGGGGCAGAGTCCAGGCATTCCAAAGGAGCAGCAGAAACAAAGTGCGTGTTGGAAGGAGGCCGAGGAAGGGGCTCGATACAGTGCTACTGGAGTTGGGTGAGGAAGGAGGTGGACAGGGCCACCAAATAAACGGGGTTGAAGCCCACAGGGATGAAGGAGGGAAGGGGAAGAGGGGCATCTCAACTCGGCCTTTTGTCTTCCAGTAAAGGTGACTTTGTGGATCCCTGCCTGGGGGACCTGATCTTAATTCTCAAGCTGCCTGGGTGGCTTAAAGGACTGCTGAGCTTCCTGCTGAAGCCCCTGGTGAGGGCATTAGTAGTATGAGGGGCTAGACACAGCCTCTGGGCCCCAATCTGTGCTATCTCATGGTCTCTGCCTCTTTCTCCCTTCCCTGGCCTCTGGGTTCAGACAGGTTTGGCCTCTCTACTCCCACTGGACTGTTCTCCCCATTCCCCAGTCTTTGGCCAACCTGCTTGCCACAGGTGTGACCTGGGTCCAGGGGAGGCATGGAAGAGGAGGCCTCGGGGGCCCATTGCTGACCCTATGTCTGTTCTGGTGCAGCTTCCACGGCTGGCAGTCTTTCTCAACAGCATGAGGCCTCGGTGAGAACTCTTCCTGTACCCTGTCTTTCCCCAACTGATACGAGTCCAGATGGTTTTTGACAGGAAAATCCATCGGGGGAGTAGCTTCTGAAGTAAAAGTGGTCCAGGCAGGGAGGTCGACTTGTAGTCTTCAGGTGGGACTTTGAAACTGTCTTAGGAGGGTGCAGACCTGGCTGGAGAACAAGGCCTGAGTGTAGAACAGGACAGGATAGGTAGAGGGAAGAAGGTTGGCCCACCAGGGCATAGGGGAAAGGACCAGAAAGTTGGTTTGGGCTGGGAATATATGAGGATTGTGGGTACCAGGGAAACATGAAAAGCTCTCAGAAATCTGAACTGCACTGAGCTGGGCCAGGTCCTACCTGCCCCTTAGTGGCTGGGACTGGAAAAGTAGGACATGAGCCACCCCATTTCTAGCCTGACATCTGTGGACTCACTCTGATAACCCTGGCTTCTCCTGTGTCCCAAATCTGTGGACTCACTCTGATAACCCTGGCTTCTCCTGTGTCCCAAATCTGTGGACTCACTCTGATAACCCTGGCTTCTCCTGTGTCCCAAATCTGTGGACTCACTCTGATAACCCTGGCTTCTCCTGTGTCCCAAATCTGTGGACTCACTCTGACAACTCTGGATTCTCCTATGTCCCAAGAGTCATGAGGAATTAGGCCTAGTGTTGGCTTTGCTGTGGAGTCACCAAACAACCAAGTCTAAGTCCTTCTGGACCTTGACTTTTTTCATCTGGATGACAGAGGCCTCTGCTCTCTCAGGGCTCCCCTGGGGTTGAGTGAGATCTAGAAGTGGTGAGAATAGATGTTGTTAATACGGGTGGCTGTGGCTGTGACCTCCCTCTGTTTGCCCAGGTCATCTGCAAAGCTCTGGAAACTTCAGCATGAGATTGAGGTAAGGCTGAGCCCCTACAGTAGGCCTGGGGGTAGGGGTGGAGGAGGGTAATGCTGCTCAGGCCACCTGCCAGCAGTCTTCTCTGACCACTCCTCCCACTGGAACCTTGGTGTGGTCTGCCATTCCTCTGTGGATTGTAGCTTGGGCCTTGCTCTGATGATCATTTTCCCAGTGTCTATCCTTAGGCTCTGGGTCAGCATAGGGCTCCTGTCCTAGCTACCTCTGCTTCGGGACTGCCTGTTGCCACGCTAGTGTGTGGCTCCACCTTGGCAGGAAATATTTGTCTGTGGTTCAGGCAGAAGGTAGAACAATGCCCCTGAGAGACAGCATTTCTCATTCCCTGGTGGCTCAGCTCAGATTCCCTGGCAAGTGCTAAGATCAGGGCCACCCCAGCCTCTGCTCCTACATGGGGCATCCTGGGGTGCCTTGAGTCTGAGTGCCTCTCCTGGTGTGGGCATATCCCCTCAGGTGTACCAAAAGTCTGTGATTGCTCAGTGGAAAGCGATGAATCTGGATGTGCTGCTGACCCCCATGCTGGGCCCTGCTCTGGACTTGAATGCATCAGGCAGGGCCACAGGTGAGGCCTATTGCCTACCCCCAATTCTCCCACTTTTCCTCCTCTTCTGACATCAGCCTTGTGCCCTGTGGAGCTGTAGAATAGAAGAGGAGGAGTTCTCAAGGAACACCCCATCTCTGAGCCTCACCATCTTGTTGACTAGAGAGATGGAAGATATGTGGAATGCTGGGAAGGAATGAGTTCCTTGTCATGAGCACTATTCAAGTCGAGGATCTCCTTGCCCACTCTGTAGTTTGGGGAGGTGGTATTTGAATCTAGGAAGGATTTAGATAAGCCAAGAAATAGGAACAACATTCCAGGTTGGGGGAGCTATGTGGGTAAAGGCATCAGTGGATATTGCTGGTTCCTAAGCTTTGGTACAAACCTCAGCCCTGCGAGAGGGTCTTTCTCTGGTTGTGGAAGCAGAGTGCCTTTTCATGGGTGGGAGTGAGGGTGACGTAGGCCCAGAGAGGATAGTCAGCACTGCATCTGGCTGGGCCTATGATAGCCAGTGTGTTGTGTTCCAGGAGCTATCAGCTACACTGTACTCTACAACTGCCTAGACTTCCCTGCGGGGGTGGTGCCTGTCACCACAGTGACCGCTGAGGACGATGCCCAGATGGAACACTACAGAGGCTACTTTGGGGATATCTGGGACAAGATCCTGAAGAAGGTAAGACCTGCCCACCCCCTAGCTCCCTGATCCCTAGATCCAGCTGCTATGGAAGACACAGCCTTAGCACTTGTGGGCCTCGCCAGCCTTCCTTAAAGTAAGCCCCATACCTGCTGTTGGCACAGCTTGCTGCTTCTCCTCCCCAGCAGAGTGCCTGTTTCCTGGACTCAGGTTGGGGTTTCACTTCACTTCTCTCATCCTGATGTCTGTGTTTCCTGCAGGGCATGAAGAAGAGTGTGGGCCTGCCTGTGGCCGTGCAGTGTGTGGCTTTGCCCTGGCAGGAAGAGCTGTGTCTGCGGTTCATGAGGGAGGTGGAGCAGCTAATGACCCCAGAAAAGCAGCTCTGGAGGACCTGAGGCCCACGTGCCCTGCAGTCCTACCTATTCAAAACATTGCCACTTGTGAGGAAATGCCTAGTACAGGACAGAGGCATCCACCTATGTTCCCCTAGCCCTCTGCAGAAGCACAGGACTGCCCCCTACAAAATCTGGACCTTGATCCCCATTTGGTCCCCTCTCCATCCTGAAGCCCCTATCTCCTGTGGCAGCCAGCAGGTATGACATGGGTCAGGACCCACGAACAGTCAAGAAACAACTTGTTTGTGTATTCTCTGGGCATCACAGGGTGCTAGGGACTGGAGCCTGCTGAGAGCAGGGCTGGCCTGATCCTACAGAGCTGGCTGCAACCATATCACTCTCCTGCCCCCAAACCTCCCTGATGTCCCCTCTACACAGAATGAATTCAGGTTCCTCTCCTCAGCACCTTACGCCTGCCCCTCCCTTCTTGTTTAGACTCAGCCAGCTTAGCTGGACACAGCCCTTGTTCTTCCTTCTTTCACCCCTCTGTCTGCTAACATGCCCTTTCTACTTCTTCACCTCCCAGTCCTTGGAGGCCCAGCTTGTATCCCTGTTTCTCCAGGAGGCCTTCTGTCTTTCTTCTAGCCCCTGGAGGGCTATTTCCTCCCAGTTTGCCTTTTGTGGAGGGCATCAGTGGTGGATCTGTTTTCCTGGAGACATGGGCTGTCCTCAGTGGTGGGGACTTCATTATTCTGTCTTATGAACCACTCAGTGTACTAGGGGAAACACCTGGTTGGACTGTAGGGAGTTGAGTGGGCCCAGCAGGCCCTGAGCTGGGGCTCTTGGAAAGAGGAGCCTGCCTGCCTGGGGAGGTGAGCATGACACAAGGCAATCTGGCCGAGTGCTACCACTGCTGGCCAAGGCCTGGATTCTTCCAGGAAGACTTTATTGTGTCTAGAAAGTTCCCAGAGGCTGAGCTAAGGAATGAGAACATCTCAAGGAGAAGAGGCAGTGTGCCCAAAGACCAGGGTGAGTTTGGCAATGGCAGGCATCTTTAATGGGCACAGGGAAGCAGAATTGCAGATGAGACCAAATTAAGGTGGACCTGGGTGGCCAGGTCAGGAACTTGAGTTCTTTCTCAAGGGTGGCAGGGCTGCTTGAGGGGTCATTAAGGTTCAGCAAGGAGAGTAGATTGAGGCACAGAGTCTGGAGAAGGAAGACATGATTTATGATCCCTAATCTTGAGAGAGGAGCCTGTGGCTTGGGTGGACCTGGGATATAGAGAGAGACCATCTGGGAGTTGACAATTGAGATGGAAGTGAGCTGTCTTTCTTAATTCAGTCCTATCAACCCCATCATACCCACTTTTCCCCTCATTTTAAAGAATGATCATGTACCTTGCCCAGGGTCCCAGAGCCAGAAATGGGGGATTAGAATTAAGCCTGGGTAAGCCTTTGTCAGTACCTTCACCAGTCCTTTCTGATGGCCTATGACACTGAGGTACACTCAGCACATGGCCAGAGGACAGAGAGCAGAAGTCAGCTTCTCCCTTCCTAATTGCCAGCTGGTAGATTCAAGACTTATAGGTTGCTGCCTGGTCTCATGGCCTGTCCCCTTCTCCCTGTGTCCATTGCCACTGCTCTTTGCCTGGCATCCCCTGCCTCCAGACTGGTCATCTCCTAAATTCCTTTACGTGGCAGTTAGGGGATGTTTCTAAATGCAAGTCTGATCACACTTAAAATTTTTAGTACCACTAGTACCAAGTATAGGCACCTTGGCTCAAGCCTTCAGATCTCTGATCTGCCTGCCACTGGCCACTGTGGTCTTAGCTCCTTCAAGTGTATCCACTTCCTGAAGGCCAAGTGGCCGGTTCTAAGCACTGTGTGCACCTCCTACATAGTGCCCTTTGCTCTCTGTTCTTGCTGTTCCTGGAATGTTCTTCCTCTGCTTGCCACCTAAAGAGCACCTACTCGTCTAGGATAAGGTGATTGTCCCTCACCTTTTCTTTAACTTTGCCAGGCTGTGTGAAAGGGCTGCCTTTTGTTTCTGTACATGCCTGAAAGCAGTTTTGCCTTGCTAATAGAATCAACATCTATTGGGCCATGGAGGTGAGAGCCCATTAATTTATTTGAAAACTGAGCATTTATACATGGGGAAACTGAAGTTCAGAGAGAGCTACTTATTTGTTTAAGGCTGATCAATAAGGAGTACAGGGAAGACTCCAAACTCCGTGTACTTGCTCATTTGTGCAATCACAAATGCAGGTGTTAAACTGCTCTGGGTACCAGCCTCTGTGTAAGCGACACAACCGCTTTGAAGACAGAAGCAGCATCCATGTCCTTGCCTCTCTGCTGATGTCTGTCTACAGGAGCTGTTGTCATATCTCTGTCCTCTCTCCCTTTCCTCTCCTTCTGGCTAGGATATTGGAGTTTAGGACATAGTCATGCGTCCCAGTCAGGGGTCATCTTTTAGGGCCATCTATGATGCACCCTCTCTGCTCTTTATCTCAGCTTCTGTTTGTGCATCCACAAGTCTGAACACTGGCCTAAGGAAGGGACCCTGGGGTGTGTCGCTCTGGGTACCTGGGAGAGCACCCTTTAGAGACAATTGTAATCAAGTCATGAGCTTCCCAGCCAGATCTGTCTTTAGTCTGCATTTCTTTAGGTGATTTATCTTAGCTGGGCCTCCCAAGTCTCCTGTACGTAGATTGGAGTGATGATCTTGTGCATTGTGGGTGGATGAGGTCACTTGTGGTTACAGCTATACACTGTTTACCCTTATGTGCTAGCACCCATGGATACCCAGTGAAGGCTTGTTGAAAGAACCAGAGACTTGTTATTAGTGAATCCATTTTGGTGCCTCCTGATTAGTTCCCTCTCTCATCCTTGATAGAGAATTTCCCAGTTTGCCCCTGACCCTCTACCCTTATCTAATCTACTTCTTTGATTTAATTAGTGACAAATATCTCCTTGCCTGTGTTCAATCCCAGACTTTCTCCTGGCCCAGAGATCTGCATACATCTACTTCCTCCATCTCCCTAGTCCCTCCTCTCCTTCCTCTATCCCTCCCATAAACACATTGAATTCCTCTCATAGTATGCTCACGGTTAGCAAACAGAGACAGCCCCTGCCTGAATGGAGCTTTCATTCTACCCAAAAACATGTAATTACACAGTGTGTCTAAAGTGCAATAAAGCAGAAGTCCTGGATATGATGACAAACGTCTGACCTGACCTGGCCTGCCACATGTGTGTAAGCAAGCAGATGTGTCAGGGAGTAGATGAAGAGGCATCAAAGCTGAAAATGGCATTGTCACAGGAAATGAGTGTTTCAAGAATGGTAGAGTCAAATGCTGCTGATATAACAAGGAATGGGGACGGGTAAAGGTGGGGACAGAGGACTCCACCTGCCATCATTGCCTCACTGAAGAATTATCATTGAGTGATTACTGCATTCCAGGCACTTTTCAAAAGGCTAACAAGGTCCTTGTTTTTAGGAAACTCGTTTTTCTAGGAAGGGAACATGCAAATAAGTACATAATGTCTTCACTGATGGTAAGTGTGAAGACACCTAATAGGTTAATGTGGTAATGGGGGTATGTGTATAGTCCAAAGAAAGGTGAGGTGACAAGGCCTAGGTGCCCTTGGGGTGGGCTGAGGACGTCCGACAGCATTTAGAGTGGAGCAGGGCTAGGAGGAAAAGAGGCAGAAGGATAGAGGAGGGCAAGTTCTGTAGGTGCCTTGGAGATGGCAGTGTTGGAGGGTAGATGCTCAAGGTGATGCCCTGGGGTATGACCATCTGGGCTCAATACCAGTCACAAACCCAACTCCTTCTCATCCATATCTACTGCCTCTCCTGACTTTCTGGTCTTGAGGGCAGTCACCATTCCCTTGCTCATAGAGGCCAGCATGAGTGACTATGCCTATCTCTGAGACAGAGACCGTATGAAGACATCCAGGAATGGAAGGGTTCCCAATTCAAGTCCCCTAGCCTGCTTTCCAGCTCTTATAGCTTCCCTGCCCCTCCTTTCTTCCTTTCCCATTCATCCACAGACCTCATCTTCCCTCTGGGAGACACAGCAAAGTAGTAGCTGGGTCCCCAGGATCCTAGCTGTGTCTCAATCCTCACTTCTTGAGTCATTTCCCCTTGACAGTTGTGGGATGGGCCTAAGGTACCTGTCCAATTCCCAGTTGACTCTCCTCCTTAGCTGGTCCCCAGATGCCTCCTCAGAATAGGCAAATGACTGTTCAGCCAGCCTCCATGTTTCTGCTTATGCAGGATCTAGAGCTGGCAATTGTTCTGAAAGCAGCAACAGGAAAACAGCAGCAACCCCACCTGGAACTTGAGGCTTAGATGATGATACTGGAGGGGTGTCTGGGATGGATTTGGCGAGAAGAGGCCACAGTCTCATCACCTGCCTGGCTATAGGCTTGGGGTCCTCTTCAGGCTCATCTCTGCCAAAGCCGCTTCCACAGTGTGGCCTGAGGGTTGAGTTGTATCCCCAGAAAGCCCAAGTAAGGCTAGGGATTGGCTGGGAGGGGACCGAACTCTGCCCCTGGGTGGGTGCCCTACTCTTGAGGAAGTAGTAGATTTGTCCACACAGGTGAGGATGTCTTATTCCCTGGAGATGCTCCTGTTGGCCCTGCTAGGGCCTTTCTGTTCTGGCAGCATGCCTCAGCCAGGAGCAAGATTCCCCAGGACACAGAAGTGTAGGGAGGTGGCACTGCAGCAGATGGAGGCCCTGGCCCAGCATCTACTGCAGCTGGAAAGCAGACATTAATCCCCCAGGGAGCTTTGGGCTTCCATCCCAGTAGAAGGCCCCACTCTAGGATGGGGCCCCTTCAGAAGATGGGGAGCCCTAATGGGCACTCCTCCATCCTCAGCTCTTCCTGGCTCAGTGTCACCAGTCAACTACTTCTTCCCTCCGTTCATGTCTGGAACTGCTGAAGGTCAGAATAGTGTGTTTCCTCTGTCTTCCCAGCACTGGGTACCAGGCTCCACAGCATGCTCACTTGGGGTAGTTGCTGAAGAGAAAGAAACTGATAAAAGAAAACCAGGCCTATCTAATCTCAAACTCACAACTTCACTGAGACAAGAGCCTGGTCAACACATTTGCCTTTTGACCCCATTCTGCTCAGCTCTGAAAATGTTTGCTGAGCACCCAATAGAGTTCAAAATGTTGAGGCAGTCATTGCAGCTGGCAGGCTGGATCAGCAGATGAAGTAGTTGAGCCCTGAGTGTGCATCAGTAAACTGTCCTAGGGTAATGGAAAGAATGTTAGGGGAAAAAGGAATGTGGAGACAGACAGCCTGGGATTTGCTGTGTGGCCTGAAGTGTGGCCTGAAGCAAGTGACAGCTCCTCTCTGGACTCTAGGATCCCCAGTTACTGGAGGTAGGGAGGGGTCACAGCACCATGGAGTTCCCCAGCAGACTCCATGGGAGCCCCAGGGGTGGGGGTTGGGGCTAGTGCCAGAAGTCTGGGGTCCTTTGCTCTGAAGATCCTGAGTGTCCTCTGCTGTCCCCTGCTTGGTGATTGATGGCCCCAATGGGCAGCTTCTCTGTCTGAGCTGCAGCAGTTGCTGAGAATGTGTATTAATATTAATTGGGGCTAATTAGTTGGATAAATCAATCCACCCCCAGAGAGCAGCAGTCCCTCTCTGGCTGATGAGGAGGAAGTCTGGGCTAATGGGCTTGCTGTGGTGAATCCACATGATGGAGAGGATTCCTGAGCTGTGGAGGCCCCATCTGTGGGCATTGGTGGCCTAGGTGCCTTTACTGTGAACGCTGCACATGTGTCTTGCTGGACTTTCATTGTGCTGTGTTAGACAAGTGTTTGATGCTGTGCTGCTTGTGTCTGGTTGTGTGTGTGTTGAAGCATTCTGCTGGGAGAGGGAGGAGGAGTCAGCCCTCATGAGACATGGGAGGTAAACAAATTTCAGGTGTCTGGGAAAGCTGAAAGGAACTTGCAGGGTTCGGGAAGGGCCCTCTCCAGAGCTGTAGAAGCAGTTAACAACTGCTGGCAGCGAAGACTGACCAGCCAAGCTGCTGAGAATCCTCAGACCCGTAGAGCTGCCTGCAAGTTGTGTAGAGAGCTCCAGGGACGCAGCTTGCATGAGTCCTCACCCGTGTCAGGTGGGCTTTTCGGTGATGCAACTGCTTTTAAGTCATCCTTGCTCTTGTCGGTAGCGCTTTACCTCTATTCCTGTTAGTAACCCCAATAAAAACTCATGGGGGAGGGGGGCGAGGCTGGAGAGATAGTCCAGAAGTTAAGAGCACTGGCTGTTCTTCCAGAGGACCTGGATTCAGCTCCTAGCACTCACATGGTGGCTAATAACTATCCATAACCCTAGTTCCAGGGGATCTGACACCCTCTTCTGATCTCTGCTGGTATTGCACACTATATGCAGGCAAAAACACTCATACACATAAAATTAAAAATTTTTAAAAACTGAAACATAGCTCATTGGTTCACCAAGTTGGGCTTTGGTACAATCATACTTTGGTCCATCATGGGTTCTCTTTCTGGAGTAAGTAGGTGTGTGTGTGTGTGTGTGTGTGTGTGTGTATGCGTATTGTATCTCCCCAAGAAAAATCTCTCACAAACAAATGTGTGGTGTTACTGCCTGGAGTGTGCACATCTTTATATGGATGACTGAGGTTGGTATGAATGAATGTTTGCCTGACCATGTAAGGTAAGGTCATTTGAACTAATCAAAGGTTTTCTGCTGGCCCGCTGGGAGAAATGTTCTCCCTTTGGCCTGGCTGAAAATGGAAACTAGAGTTTACCAAGGTTTGTGATGTCAAAAAATCTGGCACAGGGGGATGGAGAGATGGCTCAGGGGTTAAGGGCACTGACTGTTGTAGAGGATCTGAGTTTGAATCCCAGCACCCACATAGTGGCTACCAGTCATCCATAATTCCAGTGCCAGGATTGCTAGGGTATCCGACTTCCTTTTCTGTCCTCCTCCTCAAGAATTGTACAACATGGGTGCATTTATACACACATAGGCATGACTCTCATACACATAAAAATAAATAAATAAAAATATTTTTTAAAAACATTGTAACTCCAGTTCCAGGAAATCTGATGCCCTTTTCTGGCCTCCTCCAGCACCTCATGCATGTAGTTTGTTTACATACATGCAAGCAAAACAATCATACACATAAAATAAAAATAAATACAATGTAAAAAATATAGTCAGATACATGATTTAAAAAAAAAAAAAGGAAAAAAAAAAATCTGGCACAAGTTATCTGGAACAGTTGTGGCTGGGCTGATGCCTGGTGGAGCCAGAGTTGGGCCTTGGCAGCCAGCAGTTGTGGTTTCTGTGTCGCTTCCTCAAGGTGTCTGTGGAATGCTCAAAGCAGCATGACAATGGCCAGCTTCTTTCCTGAGGGCCGCAGTTTAGGCATCAGAAACTGGTCTAACAACTGTCAATTAGGGAGTCAAATTGCCACAAATTGCATATCAATAAAGGTCTATTATCAACATTAATAATTATTTAACAGTGCTTTTCTCTGAATCAAATATTGTTGTGGAGAGTTTGGTCATCTTACCTGTCTCATTTCTGTGTCTCAGGTGCCCTCACTGGGGAAATGGAGAATCCTAAAGGTTTCCGTGGTCAAGGGCTTCACACATTAAATACTCTTAAGTCATCCGTCATTGGGGATATATGTGTATCTATATACAAACACATGTTTTATATTTACAGTGAAAGATTTCTAAGTTACACTGATGGAATGGTGTTGCAATGTTATTCTGAGGGTACCGAGAGCTTACTGTTGGACTTGGGCTTTAGAAGATCTTAAAAGGGGGCTGGAGAGATGGCTCAGCAGTTAAGAGCACTGGCTGCTCTTGTAGAGGATCCAGGTTCAATTCTCAGCACCCATGTAGTGGCTAACAATCATCAATAACTCTAGTTTCCAGAGGATCTGATGCTCTTTTCTGACCTCCATGATCGCTGTATGACATGGGTACACTTACATACATGCAGGCACGACACATAAAAATGAATAAAATATTTTACAAAAGAAGATCTTGCCGGGCATGGTAATGCGTGTCTTTAATCCCAGCACTTGGGAGGCAGAGGCAGGCGAATCTCTGTGAGTTTGAGGCCACCCTGGTCTACATAGCAAGTTCCAGGCCAGCTGGAGCTACAGGGAGACCCTGTCTCAAAAAGACCAAAAATAATAATAATTATAATTATTATTATTATTTAATAAGA